AAACTCCGAACAACTGAACGTCAATCTGTCAACTCACTGTTTTATTTTTTTAAACCCAATTTTTCTTACTTTTCCATACAATTTTTTAAATAATTATTTCACCTAAACCTTGTCTTGACAATTGCAGACAACAAAAAAAAGAATTAGCCTAATAGGTGCAGCCGTTCTGAAATAGTTCACTTACATATATTTAGCAATTGATTTTTATTTATATATGATAGATACCGACAAAGCAAGAACACGAAAAGATTAGGGCAATGAAAAAATACCTGGATTGCGTGTTTTATTTAATTAGCAACATCAATTTGAATTTTAGTATCAGCTTCAAGACAGTAGCATATAGGAATTAGCCCGACAGGTAAACACCTAAATTTAGTCTGGGCACGCAACGACGCTTCGCATTAACTTTCGCACGCTACTTTTACTTGACTGTTACAAAATTCACCGTAAATCGTTTGGCACATTTCCTTTAAAACATAAATTAGTCTACTATTATATATAAAATCATTATTATTACATATTAAGGTCTCGTTTTCCAATGTCTTTTAATAGTATAATCAAAAACAGATAAGATTTTTGGAAAAAATCGCTACCAGAACAATTTATTAAAATAAAGGTTCTAAGAGTATATCCTAGTCTTATCAAAAAATCGCGATATCAAAGCTGTATATAAAACTACACTAATCGCCTAAGATCATGTGAATCAATAAACCTCTCGGAATCTCGATCATCAATCAAATACAAGTGGGCCCTTTACGCTCATAAAAACTCATGCCACAATGTCGTGCACATATTTATGAAGCTTCTACGTGATCTGCTACTGATGGAATACCCATTCATCAGATGAAGCTATAGCTGGGAGAAAATAACAGTTATCTTTTTCGGGATACTAATATTAAAAAAATCTTTTGCAATATATTACTTTGATTGTGATATCTATACTAATATTATAAAGAGGTAAAGTTTGTGAGTTTGTGACGTTGTAGGGGGTAATATCTAGATCTACTGAACCGATTTGGGTGAAATTTGGTGAAGTTTGAGACCCTGAGAAGGATACAGGATACTTTTTATCCTGAAAATCATTCCTCAAGGGGGTGAAAATGGGGATGAAAGTTTGTATCGGGAATCAAGCTAGAGACGAACCCGAGCGAAGCGAGGGTGAGTCGCTAGTTGGTAATAATTAGGTAGGTACTTATATTGAAAGCCTAATGAAACTCGTCGTTTTTAAGTACTTAGTAACTCTACTAGTGATAAGTATTGAAGTTAATTACCAAAGTTCCCCAAGAAGACGACATTTTAATCATTTAGGTACATATTTTATTTTAATTACTCTTTATCTAAAACTGAACTTCTTACTCGAAATAAATAAGAATAATATGAAAGCTCATTTATAAGGATAAATCTATATAAAATTAAACAATTATTTTACTTCAAAATCAGGTTTTTATCTTATTGTAGATAACAACTTTAGTATTTCAAATTACCATTTTATAAGTCTGTAAGTAGATACTTATGTACGTACTTACTACTTACTAAATAGCCAATGTCCATTGATAAAGAACATGTCCACTTTCAATAAGCGGAGTCACAAGACAGATTGGTATGAGAATAACTTTAATAAAATTAAATAAGAGACGTAATATTTTAAGCAGTTAATACGGGATGTAATTCTAACTGTGTTATACCATATATCTAGTGTATAAAAAAGTAGGTCTAATGCCCGCAGGTATCAGGCAACATCTGTGAGTAGCTCGTATGACACTATCGGGGTCGCAAAGACCGTTATGTTTACACTTATAATATTTCGCTTGATTTTTAACGCGTATATTTAATTATTATTATAAAAATATCTTAGATATTTTTGTTTTATAAAGAGTTCATAATAATTAGTCTACTTTACAAATTATTTTTGTTTTTCTACTTTATAAATTATCGAAATGATAAGTATATTATGTAGAACAGAGGCTCTCAATGTTGTGCTTTATCGTATCTAGAATGTAAACAATATGTATCTATGGATAATATACGTTTGTTTGTAACATGCAAGATTCAAACCCGCAACTAGATGGTGGCTCTTAGATATAATAGATGATTATCACTGTAAACTTATAATGTTTCAGAAAAAAATAGTAAAAATTAGACTTAACTATGTTTATAATCGAATTGAAATATTGGATTAGTGATAAATTAAGGCATACCCAAGTCCCAACTGAAATCTATTCTCTATCCATCATCATCTATCTAGAGTAAAAAGAATTTTAGTTCTCAAAATTCTAAAATAGTTACCGAAGTCATAGAAAATCGTGTCCTATAAATATCTTCAGTTTCTCCTATATATTTTCCATCGCAGAAAACTACTAGTATAGTAGGTATAATTTGTAAAAGAGGTCATCACAAATAACATTTATTTAAATGTCAGTTTGTCATATTTTTTCGTTCATCATTTATCTGCAGCACTTCATAAATCTTGGGCGTCATCCAAATTGAGTTTTTATAAAATTTAACTGTCTTGATCACAAAATTTTCATTTCAGTTATAATCAATCTTTTCACAGAAACTACAATTGGAACGAAATTATCTAATTTCCTTTCACTAAAGAAAATTTAAGTACTTAACAAACAATTTTATATTTTATAATATAAGCGGAGAAAAAACTTTTATCTTATAAATGAAAATGCAAGGTTACCAAACTAGTTAAGATTTAAGCAACCCCGAGGTTAAAACAATACTAAATGTTGATTAGTCTGAAAATTGCTATGAATAAGTTGTAGTGTAAGTATGAATGATCCAGATTTACCAGCCACATTACAGATTATCACATTAGTACCCGACAAAGCTTTACCCCTGTGATCGCAGAGATGAAATCATCTCATTTCCACCCACTAAAGACAATTTAGGTACTTAACAAACAATTGTAGTTACATATCATAAGCGAAAAAAAAGAAGCTATTAAACTGATTGAATATAAAAAAGAAACTGTTAAACTATTAACGTCAAGCAACTGTGTTATTATGATTATGTTGTTATTAATGCTATAAAAACTTTTATGTCATAATTAAAAAAAAAACAATGTTTAATTTATTTTATTAACTGTTTAATTTTATTCACCCTAAGTTCATTGCAATATATTTCCAAGTTGATCAGTCTGATAACTCATAAGAATATATATACATATATATATATATATATATATATATATATATATATATATATATATATAACCCAAATTTATTTAATATTTCAGGAAGAGATAACTTTGAATGAAGAAATGTGGCTACCTTTGTTTAAAAATAAAGAAAGAAAAATAAAAAAAATGTATTTTTGACTCTGCTTATTCCCGCCAAAGCGATCCGGAGATCGCTAAGTTGATTTTAACCGGATTTTTAAATTTATAATAGAATAGATTTAGACGAAAATTACATACGTGAAAGTTATTTTAACGAAAGTTAGTAAGTAACCAGCTTTTTTATTTATTTGGGTCAATAAACAGTGTTCACAATAAGGCTAATATCTAAGCAAATAATATAATTAAATAAATAATAATTATCAGCAGCATCGTTGACCACAGATTACTAATTGGTCTTGAGAAGTGGTAATGTATTTTTAGTATTCAGTACAAGTAAAAAAAGCAAAATTAAAAGTATAAAAGAAAAACAAAAAAAATAATACAATAACTTAAATTGTTAGAGCGAATTGCATATTATGTTTATTAATTGTTTTTTTAAAGCTGCTCATGTTTGTATTCATTAAATCGATAGAACACAAGTATGTATTGTAAGTATTTTTCAAAATCCTCTTGTATTTGCAAAGTTCTTAAATAATGAGCTTTGTATTCCAATTTTCAAAGTCAGAGCAAACAACAGTTTGAATCAATATCGACGATGAAGTACATTTTCAATGACGTATCACTTTGCTCAGTGAACTACTAGATGCAATGCGCTTCTATTTCTGATAAATACGTATGCAAATTATTGACAAATGACCTATCTAGTATTTTATTAAATCTGCAATTGCAATTTCTTTTTTTATCTAATAAAAAATATATTACGTGATATTTTTTTATCTTCATGCTGATCGCAGTTGTTGCTAGGACTTCTAAGGTCGCTCAATGTCATGAAAATAAACAAGAAAAAATCTATTATAATCAAATTACAATGTATACCTGTCTTGTCGTAGGTAGCTTAGGATATTATTATCACATAAATGGAGGGCTCCATCAATTTTCGTCACATGATACGAACAATCAACAATAGCAATTTAACTCCAATACGCCCGTCGGATTTAGGTCGTCCATCTATCATCGAGAGGTCATCACATGTCCTCACCGTTGATTGCAATTTGTTATCGATTTTGTGTTATCATTAGTACAAAATTTCTCTCAAGCTTTACTAATACTTTTAATAATATTATAGAAATAAACTATTCATAGACAAAAGAATGTTTTGAGTTAAGAAGATATCTTGTGATTTCTGCCTTTTCCTAGCTACCTTTTACTAGCTAGGCTAGGCTTACGAGCAAGCGACTCACCCTCGCTTCGCGTCGGATTCGTCCCAAGATCTATGGCACAGGAACCTTATATTTTTCCGGGATAAAAAGTAACCTATGTTCTATTCCAGATTATAATCTATCTCTGTACCCAATTTCATCTAGATCCGTTCAGCCGTTCTGGCATAAAAGAATAACAAACATCCATCCTCACAAACTTTCACATTTATAATATTAGTAGGATTAGTATGTCATCTAGTGTCTTTTTCTATGTTTAATTCGTTTTTATGCTTATGGATTTAGAGAGCGGGTCATCATGATATGTTTTAAATCTTGTTATTGTAATTTTGGTATTACTTTTTTGCTTTGAATTTACCAAATTCAGACAATTCAGTATGAAATATTCTATTGATATGGTAATTATATATTATTTGACGTGCAAATGCTTATCCTATAATCAAATTTAGATACACCGTTAGTGTCACTCAGTGTTAGCCATCGCTGTGGTCAATTTAATTCAAATGCAAGGAATTGGGAATCAGTCGGTCGTCTATCATAGTTGGGTCATCTCTGGAATGCATCTCATAGCAAATGGTAATTGAACGAGCAATGGATGCAATCACATCCGTCCATCTTTGGGAACACAACTAGTATAAACATAGAGAATTATTTGCTCTATACCTTTCTGCTTTCTGTCTCTTATGGTTAATACTTAGTAAAATTTCAATGCAATTTAAGCATTTCCTAATAATATAATGCGCAATATTTTCCTGAATTTTAATTATAAAACAATGTAGATGTAAAGAAAATATTTTGTACATCATAAGCCAACTGATTTCTGATATCTCTCAGATATTTTCTGAGATCAATCAGGATCAACACGTCACGTTGTTTAGATTATAAAAATCATTTGTTAAACGTTTCGAAAGATCGCCCATCATTCCTTAACAAAATTACCATTTATAATGGATAAATGAAAAATAAAAGGAGTAAGAGTTAGTATTAAAATGAATATTTACGTACAGAACGTAACATTATTTAAAGAAAGTATTGAAAGCTTACCAATTCCTCAGGTGATCCCGGTTCCTTCATACCATTGCTCTTATCCGTGCTCCCCGTCTCTGTAACAAATATTTGCTTTATTTATTTGTTTGTTTATTTATGTTCCACAAAAATACAAATAAAAATCAGATATCACGTATACAAACTACAAAAGATGACTTGTTTCTTTAAGAGATTTCTTTGAGCAACACTCGAGCGTAAGTAGAAAGAAAATATAAAAACGAAGTGCTGTGTTATAATATTATGTACTTTTTTTAATGAAGTTTTGTGAATTTTATTATACAACATTAAATTATGGTTTTTTGGAAAAGTTTACTAAAGTTATTAAGTTTATTTTCTACGTTAACATTTTTACTGGTTAATTACTTAATTATAAAACCTACATTAGATTTTGTCGTGCAAAATCTACAATATTTTTATGTAAAATCTTATAAATAATAAAATTTAACTATTTTTTATTTGAATTTAATATTTTCAACCGACTTCAAAAAGGAGGAGGTTCTCAATTCGACTGTATTTTTTTGAAAAATATAGCTCGTTTCATACATATGTACTACACTACAAGGATATCATTTTCCTTCAAAATATAAAATTTTAAACAAATATTACTATTGACCTAAAATTACATATTATGCGCAACTTGTTAGAAAGTTTTATTCATGTAGTCTTAAAGGAAAATTTAATTTCCATGCTATTTTCTGCATATACGGCACTATTCTTTCAATATGTCACGACTGCACGTCAATACGAACTGATTGCAGTGATGCAATCACTGCGTTTCAACGGCAATGAATTGAAGTAAATTAATAGAATTATTTGCACAAAAAATCACTTTACCATTGTAGAAACTGAAAAAAAATGAACTACATAAAATATTTAAAACTCAATTTGTTATAAATTGTTATATAAAACTTAATAGTAATTTTAAATTATTCAAGTAATTTCTTACATTGCAAATGACACATTTTCAAAATTTATTTATAATTAACAAATACAATAAAAACCACAATCAATTTACGGCAGTTAATTAAAACTGTAGATAAAGGGGCTTATTATAAACCAAAATGGAAGGACGACGCAGGAATATCAAATAGCCACTTCAAAATAATCTGTATTACCATGCACTAAATAACAAATTTGTTTAATTTAAATATTCATATAGCCTACTTCACCAGTGTATTAAAGTTAATCTTATGCATTTTGGTGAAATAAATTGAGTTACATACGTATACATTATACATATAGCTTCAACAAATGAAAATTGTAAATTTAGAAGTATATATTTTGACATTTTATTATTTAAAAAGAAAATTGTTCACGTCGAGTTCGCCAATGTTTTTATGTATAAAATAATAATTTACAAACATTGAAATGCATACGTTTATGGCACTGGAGTTAAATCAACACTTATCCGATTTTCTCGCAATTTTTCAATCAACCAAAACAGAAAAGTTGTAATCTACTATTATGTTAAAAAATTAAACCAAATTGTATTAACTAAAATAAATACTTTAAAATATAGATTTTTGTTGCTTGTCTGTATGTTTGTGCACGTTGCATTTGAAATTAAGTGATTTCAAAACTGTTCTTTACTGTATACGTACATTGCATGACATTTAATCATTTTTAAGCATTTTTTATTAATTACATATATTGGTTGTATGCCACGTAACTTTTTAACTTTTAAAACCAGATATCATGCTAGTCTAACAGCTATTAGCCGAGTTCCAAAATCAAAAAACCCCGCTAGCACCTGTAGGCAGCAACTAGTGACAAATATTTAGCTCATAATATCTGTAATCTTTATATAACGACAACGTGAGAATTTTTACGGAAAGAGGCAGATTACGGTGAAACGAAAGCAAAAGTCAAACGCTTCAAAACTAAAGAGCATTAAGCCAATATGAGTTTAAACGATCTTTTATGTTTCTCACGTTGCACGCTCTCAGACATTGTATTTGCCGCTTCACAGCTTCGAGCCACCGCAAAGGTAAGGCCGGTTACGGGCATACACGCAAATTGTATTGCTTTAACGGACCATCCATCGAACACCACGCAAAAATCAACTCTGTTCTTAAAACATAATGCTTAAATTTAAAACGTCCAGTCTTAAGACTTTATACTTCAGCAAAGTATTGACCACAGAAAGTAAATCATCGTTACGTCTCCGTTTACCGACATTACGTCACGCAATGTCTTTAATACTGTTCTTTCGTCTTATCTCAATCACGGTAACAATTCAAAACTTGAATAGATTAGCTTATTGATATTTTCTGTAAGAAAGCTGTCAAATCGTTGTTCAACTTAATTGTCAGCAATAAAGTACCTATTTCTGTACTTTAGTATATGTCGTACATACAACTTTGTGAATTTTTATATTTATTTCTAAGTGAAATTGGCGCAGTAATCTGTGCTCAACTGACACGATTTGAAGCCGTTTGAAGAACAAGAAAATTGAATTGAATTAATATTTATAATGAATAATAAAGATATAATTTGGACAATCCGTACTAAAATTATAAGTTATTAAAAGCATGCGACTTGGTTTATCGAGTCAGTCAGAGTTTTGAACTGCTTCTTTTAGCACGTTTAAAAAAAATATGAGAATAAATTTTTTACGATGCGCGCGCACATCGACAGCCAAAAAGGACATGATGAAGTTAGTTGAATTCCTTTTACAAACAGAGAGTTGTCACATACGGGATGAAATCTTTAGCTATTTTTGTTCTGTTACGCCTAAGAAGTATAACTTCTTACGTGCGTACATAAGTACACACACACACGTTTTTTATGACTGGACTCCACAAAACGTTAAAAGCTTCTACAACTAGATTAAAAAAAATGTAACAGAAAAAAGTTAAAGATAGAAATAAAAATCTTGTATCATAGAACATTAATTTAGAAATATTATAATGTATAATTTTATTTAATAGAAGCTAAACAAGAGAAAAATATTTAAGTCCCTCTTGAATTTTTTCTACCAGTTTTTCTTTAACATTTTTCAAACATTTAGGTATTTTCTCTTCAAACTAGTAATATATTCTTGACGCTTAGTAAAAAAGTAGGTTAATTTAATCGTGATTTTTTAATTATTAAATTGTGATACTTATCTTTTAAGGCTTTATTTTAAATATTAAATAGTAAAATAGTTGACGTAGATTTTTTTTAGATAATATTTATATATATAATATATTGTTTCGGTTACTTTGTAATGAACAATTAACATGCACAGAAATATTAGAAAGTTTAAAGCTTTCTATCTTATTGCTACATATAAGAACCTTTTTTTATTTATTTTTTATTTTTACATAAGCGACAGTATTTTATCAACGTAGCTTAACGTTAGTCTATAATATTTATGGATTCCCAATCTACTCAATAAAATTCGCTTAAAGCGATGGAACTGTCACAAACCGTATTAAACTTATTGAACCGTTTGACGTTTATTACTTGAAATTATTTATACAGTTTTTTATATAATATGCTATCAATTATTTTATGAATTTATTATTCACGAACAATGAGCCTGTTGTGATTTTCCATCGGCAATATAAACAGAAACTTACTTATTAATTATCATATTATATGCTTGCGTGTATGAATTCAGCCCTTTTTAACGTCCCACCACTGGGCACGGGTGTCCCTAGAATACGAGGGGAATCAGGTATAGTCCACGCTGGCCAAGTGGGGGTTGGCGGACTTCACATGTCTTTTTAAATCTTGCTTGGTTTTCTCAGATACACAGGTTTCTCACAGGTTTCTCACGATATTTTCCTTCACCGTAAGGGAAGTAGTAATCAAGTTAGAAATTATTCGCACATGAAAATATCAGAGGTGCGAGACCCGGGATTTAAACCCGCTTCACTCGGTTTCCTAAGCGAGCGCGTTACCACTAGGCTACCACTACCTCATTTATTATATGTTTAAAAATAATTAATTATTATCCCCCTTTTATGTTAGGGTTCCGTACTCGAAGGGTGCCAATTGAACCCGTTAGAGCCATTGATGAGCCCCCATGACGACAAGGTGATCGAAGACATCGGAAGGGCTCCTCTATTCAAACCGTTTACGATAAAAAAAACTAGGGCTTGTTACTTTATATAATGTACTCTTCAATTTTATGCTTCTAGCCCAGCGGTTAAGATGTGCGTTATCTGTCAGTAAGTCACGGACATTTTTTTTTATGTTAAAAATCTTAAATCCTTGTATCTCAGTATTAGTTATAGATAGACATATAATGTATAAAATATTTTGACATTTGAAATTACCATAAATATTTAATATACTTCTTTTCTATACTTATATGTAATTATTTATATATATATATATATATATATATATATATATATATATATATATATATATATATCTACATCACATAAAAAAACTAAATTTGACGTAAAACTGTAAAGCTCCTTATCTAAATTCTAAGAGATATCTAGAATTCTAAAATGATAATATTATCTAGTCTCGTAAGGAACTCTACTTCGAGTAAATTAGCTTTATAGAATTAAGTGAATGCTGTTTTACGAGTCAAAGCATTTTGTCTTCAGAATCGTTTTATCAAACGAGTATTATGAAAGTTTTTACTAACGCAAAAAAAGGAAACACATTTTCCGTTAAGCTTTTTCCTTTAAAAAAAATATAATAATATTTATGATTTACTGTATCAACTTACTACAAATTACACTAAACCAAAATATCAAGATATGAAACACGAAAAATGTCCACTGCCTTACACTTAAAATAAATAAATAGTAAAAAAAACTTTTTTAAAAAAAACAAGCTTTTATTTAAATGATCAAAAAGAAGAAAATAAATATTAAATTAAACCCATAATTTGTTACATCACACAATTTATATAATATAAAAGCTTGACGCCTTACCTATTTTAAACAGTATATTCTGGTTTATCTACACAGGTAAATTTATTTGGATTAAAAATGGCGTCATTTAGATAATCGCCCATTGTATCGGGAACCAAACTAGTGCGCCAAATTTCAGCTCAATCGGACACTCGGAAGTGGGTCAAATATAACTTGCAAGATTCCATTACACA